GTTTTTACCTGGCCGGGGGATGCGGGCCCAGCCCAGTCCCCGCCCGGCCGCATGGCCTGGGCAGGGAACGGGAGGCCTGGAGCTCCGCCACCCTTCACAGCCAGGAAACAAAGAGAACCAACAGAGCTCTGGTTTTACACTTTAAGGTAGGGTTCACAAGTTGATCCCACTTTTCAATGGCCTAAACTGCTGTCAATTCTCAGCAATGACCGATAATTGGTCAGGAGAAAAGACTCCAGGCAGTTCCCAGCAACTTAAACTTTCTTAAAGGTAAAGTAACTCCATGACACAGGTCCATAAAGATAACATTCAAGAGAAGCTTTTGGCTATTCACTGTCAGAAAAACAACCCCCCAGTCTGTCTCCATCTCGCTGGTTCTTCTCCGGAGAGGAGAGGGCTGGGAGTGAGCCCTGGTCCTGGGGTTGATGCCTTGTGAGGCTACCTAAAACAGAGGCTAGACAGTGTTAAAGGAATAAAGGAGGTATTTATTAAAAGGCCTTCAAAGGATACACCTTGAGCAGTACAAGAGCCTGGCTGAGGCTACACCCAAGATGGACCCCAAGTCACAAGTTTTCACACTTCTATAAGTTTTGTTCCATTTACGTATTTGGGTTAATTGTCCAATTACAGTTTCAGGTTATGAAATCCCATCCTCCCAGACTGCTCTCCTCAGTTCACTGTAGTTTGTACTTACTGGGCCTGAAGCTGTAACAGTGTCCTTGGTTCTCAGGCTGGAAAAGGATTTTTTTGTCTAACTCCCTGTGAAGAGAACTTGCTAACACTTTATATGAAGTTCAGAGTTATATACCAGTGCAGTATGGAATCTGGAAAGTATGAAAGCTAAGACTTAAAGCATCAGGGTAGGATCTTTCTGTGAGGGCGATGACCTGGAGGCTGTGCATGGCAGGCTCACCCTGTCCTGGAAGATATGGGCAGCTATGTGAGAGCAGCACCATCCTCACATTGTGCAGCCTCCTTTCCTCCCTGCTTCTTCAGGTATGCCACGAGTTTGTGCTCAAAGACTATTTTGGGAGACTGATCCCTGTTATCAGGGTAGACTTAACCTTGGAGGCAAACGGAAACATCTGGAATGACCTCCAATTAACTCTTACAGGTGTCTGCCATTTTAATTACTGGACAAAGGTGGTCAGGAGGAGAGCTTGCCTGGCAGAAACTTAAGGCTTTTTCTTATTCCCATTTATCTCCTGGAACAGCCAGGGCTTTCCCAGGGAGGAACAGTGTAAGCCACATCAAAACTGACCCATCGGGGACCTGCTCCATCCATGCAGAGGCACCAGAGATGCTTTCCATCATCTTTCCTGACCTTTGCAGAGCAGATGCCATTGAATTTCTCCTGGCTGTTCCTGCCCTGACATTGCCTGTTTGCTCTTTTCATCAGTATAGAACTATACCTGTATGAAATTGATGCTGTTTTAATTTCCACTCTGTGGTTAAACCTTTATGTATTTTTCTTGCTACATAAATCTGTGGTTATATGTTATGTGCAGAGAATATTTTGGGAGAAAGACATCTTGCCATTAATTAAAACAAAACAAAAAAAGAAAAAGAAAAAAGAAAGAAACTGGATTCCCTGGGAGAGGAAGCATTGACTTGAGGGCTGAAACCTAGCAAAGAGGTTGTAAACAAAGGTTTGTGATAAATGGGAATGAGCTGCATTAGAAGAAGGTGCCCAGTGGGCTACAACAAACAAAATTAATGGGACCTTTGGCCACAAATCTTTTTTTAATGTCTTTTTAAAGTTGTTCATTACTAATCTGAAGCAAGAGGAAAGTCTATTAGTGAGATTTACTGATGATATCAAGCTGGAGGTGGTGCAGGTGCTACCAAAGAAAGGGGGAAATAGGCCAGCCCAAGGCAGAGGGAGATTGAGGTCATGGCTGTGAGTGTGAGATGTCTGGGGAGAGGCAAGGAATGGGGGGTGGTTAATCCCAAAGGCAGACATTTGGCCAAATTCTAAAGGCTGTGATGGAGGGGCCCAGTGTTCACCTTGGACATTTCTCAAAGGCTTCCACATGGACACCCAGGTAGGGACTGATTTTCACAGGGGAGTCTGGTTGTGTGGACTGAATAATGGCAGTTTATTATTAGGAGAATGGACAAAATGATTAGGAGCCTGACTGATTAGAGCATGAGTAGAAGAGTGCTCAAGTGGTCTGTCAGATTATTTAGTGCCCAAAGAACTCTACTAATCTGTTTGAAAAGTCCATGTACTTATGTAAGAAATTTCTGGAGAAGTTTGAGAGAAATTTTGTACAACATGAAGAAAAAAAAAAAAAAGGCGATAAGAGAAAATTAGAAGAGAGGAAATTCAGAAGGGATTTCTAAGGAAACAGTAGCAACATGACAGAGTAAAAAGTTAAATAAACTTATTTTGTATTCTTGGCAGGTGGGCAAGGCTGAAGCTTGAATGCACAAATTCCCAAATTGGATGTGTCTAAATTCTGCTTACGTGTGCTCATTTTTAACATGCTACTGAAAGCCCTTCTTCACAGTGACACACCCGAGTCTTTGAAATAATATCCCAAAAGGAGCTGGAAAATTCTATTTGCCTGTGCTGTACTCTTTAGCTATGGTATAAAGGATACATGCAAGGATGTAAAGTCCCTCTGAATCTTGACAGAAGAGAAAAAGGACAACCAGTGTAACCAAAAGGTGGCAAATGTCCATTAAGAATGACAGTTTCTATCCAGTTTGTAGTTAGGCTGTAAAACTCGCTGTCACAGGAAGTGGCCGTGTGCAAGTGAAGGAAGTAAAATGGGATTTTCCAAGGG